GTAGATTGAAGCAATCAGTGTTACCTTCTCTGGTATTCTGTCTTTATTCCACTTGGTTGTCTCTTCTGTAAGTTGGGATCAGTATCTCCCTGTGGAACAGATGCTAACAGCTCCTCTGTGGTTGTGGGTGGTCTGCCATGTTTTTCTCTGATTGAATTGATGGTGGTGATGGGGTAAACCTGTGCATGTGATTCCAAGTATTTCAGGACATACTCATCAGCATCAATTATTCTGAAGCGATGCTTGAAGATCTGTATCAGTGCTCCAATCTGGAAGTCAGCCGGAGTGTAGAATTCAGGATTATCAACAGACGATCCTGGCTTGGTAGCATGAGTGCGTTCAAGGAATTTTCCACCAATTATGCCTGCATTTCTCACTGGAGGCTCATAGATTGTCAGCATGTCATCTGATAAGCGGTAGTAAATGATGAAACGTCTGTTCTTGTCCTCAGGTCGGAAGCTTTCCTGAAGAAAATAAGTTGTGCATTTAAGGTGGATGTACTACAGTGTAGTTTAAATTCTCTTTCATGAGTGGGCAACTTGTAATTTATTATTTAACAGTTTTTGCTACAAGTTAAAAATAATAGATAGGGAAATGTTACATGTGTAGGCCAATCACTGAGTTCTGTCCAAATCTCAGACTTAAGATCAGTAGTCAAGAACAAAAACTTAAGTAGATGTTGAATTACCATGGTTGCAGCATATCTGAGTACTTTGTGATCATTTTCCAACATTTTAATGAAGTCTTTCTTTGGAGGTTGCGGCACCAGTGATAGACAGGACTGCAAGCTGTCTTGAAGTGATCCAAACCCATTGTATGGTGGAACATCCTAGCAAAAAAATCATATCTATGGGTTAAGTAAGTTCGTTAATTTTAAGGACTTGAGGATCCAATGCTTAGAGAGACTACCAGTATTTCTTGATGTAAAGGACAGAAAAGGCCAGTAGCTGTTAAATGTCTCAAGGCTGTGAATCCCTGTTGAGCCAAAAAGCTCTACGACACAAGGAAGTGATTAACACACCCCAACCTTTAAAATAATATAGTAAGTCCCTAAGAAAACATATCATGCTTTGCGTGGCATGTTCATGGTATTGGTTCAGGCCACAAATACTGGTCAGTTGCTGAGATGCATGTACAGTCATGTGATTAGTTCAACTGAGTAAGGCAATCAGAGACAAAAAAGGGCTTCTGTGGTAGGGTACTGCATCATAAGCGTGGAATGTTTTAGTTCAAATCCCTTATTCCTTCCTTATGACAGGTAATCAAGTTAAGTTACTGTTGCAGTTTTATCAAACACTTACCTTAACTAAAGGCTCTCTTGGAGGTCCCTTCACATCAACCGGATTGAAGTCAGTAATACCAAATGTTTTCCTGAAGTAATTTTTTGTGAACTCATCACAATCATGGAGCAGGAACCTTCTTCCCAAAATAAATAGAGTTTCACCAACCACAAAGTCCCTGGGTGTGAACCAGTCTTTGATTTCATGATCAGATAACTCCAAAACACAAGAAGGAAAAGAAGCTGAAAGAGATGGAGTAACCTAAGTTAACCTACATGTATAGCTTCACCAATATTTAATTATTTCCACTGTCTTGTATTTACATACACTGTAGGGGTTTATGAGGCAAAGGTAAGTGTGCTTGTTGCATTGCTCCTTGCTTGCAGTACTCAAGATTGTTAATTTCCTAAGAAATCTTTTCAAAGTGAACAAAAAGTACTTACATTCAACTTTTGTTCTGTCTTTTGGTAGTCTCTGCCTGCAAACCAGCACAGGGAAAGGATCCCGTCCATCGTTCCCCGTATGAACTTCCCTTATCTCCACTGTGTCATCTACTAGATAGTAATGGATGATCTGCAATAAGCAATTCAAAAATTGTTGAGAAGACAAGAACAAAATCACAAGTTAATTATTACACAGAGAGAGACCTGACATCTTTTCATGAGAGAACTGTCTGGAATATATTCATATTTCAAATAAGCGATCTTTCCAATATAGATCCTTCAAGAAAACTATCACGTACTCAGTAACAATGTATTTTAAGAGTAGATCTGTTGAGCTTATTCTCTATAAACTTCAAAAACACTTAAATTACAAGTTACGAATTAAGATAAAGACTACAGTTACTAAATTTCACTTACACATGGCCTCATTTCCCCAAACATACTGTCCCTGTCGTCCCAGACACAATAAAACCTCAGGACCTTTCTATCCAGTTCCAGGAACTGTTTTAGTTTGTCAAATGACGAAGGTGTCTTATAGCTTCGAAGAGGCTGTTTGCGGGATTCAGTGTAAGGATCTGTTTCTGGCAATGCAGGCTGGTTAAGTTCTATTCCCTCACTGGCCATGTATTCCTAAAGACAAAAAGACTACATTATGAGTGTTCTTCAGGCAGAATCTAACTTGTGAATACATCTATTACAGTTGTTACTTGAGTTGAGTATGGATGTGCTTATGATATATCTCACAATTTAAACCAAGCGTAATGTCATTGATCAGTTTTTTGGGCTGTATTTTACAGTACGACCCACTTCCTATGTACTTGACACGACAGTCTTTCCTTTCTCCAGAGTGACTGACACGAAATAAACATAGAAACTCAAAAAGTCTTGGTCCACTGCAATAAGATACAAATCCTTATTTTTCCTCACTGGTTATTGTGGGAAAACTGAAAATGGCCAGCTCCCTCTACGAGACACACCTGCACCTAATTGTGCTCATCATCTTGGATTGAATATTTTATTTTGATGAATTCAACTACCATGACTCCCTTCAGGCACATCTCATAGAGGGAACTGGCCAGTGTTGCAGTTATTGTTGGTCAGTAAATCGGTGCAAAAGACTCATGAGATATATACACATTATTTGTTTGTACCTTTGTCCAAGCATCACAGTCATAAAGATGAAACACTTTTCCATAAAATGTAACATTGATTCCAAGGTTAAGGTCTTTCCAATGCCAGTATTCGCCAAGATCATTCTTGGGTAGACGCTGTCGCTTTATGAGTTTCCCTTGAGGAATTCCACTGGAAGGAAAATAGAGTTCTGAATAAGATATAAGGCAATACTCCTACAGTACTTGAGATAACATTATCACTTATAGGGTATATATGTACATGTAAGAGCAGAAGAATTATACAATGTATAATAGGTAACCAAATAAGTTATATTTAATTAATCAACCAATCAATCAATCAATCAATCAATCAATCAATCAATCAATCACAAGGTAAAATTTAAAGCTTTAGCAGCTTGTGGGGCCCTGTATCACAAGAAATTTTAAGGACTGGTTACTCCAGACATGGCAGTACAAATTAAATTCTATGTAACATTCAAGTCTCGATAACTACCTGTTGTTGACAACTGGTTCAACCACTGCGATAGAATCATCTTCCAAATAGTAATAAACTTTGACTGGACGAACTCTGTAATATTCGTTTGATGATTCATGCACAGTTTGCTTGAAATACGCGAAGAAAAGTAAAACCTTCTTGTCAAAAGCAACATGAGCAGGAACAAAATCTTCTGGAGGTGCCTGAACCTTTTGTCCGTATGTCAAGGATGGCTTGAGATTTGCTAGCTCATCTAGTTCTTCCTGTGTTAGTTTATTAACAGGTATCGGGTCTCCACCGATACCTATAATGGGGGCTGTCGGCACAGAATAGCCATTCATCCATCCAAGTGTCTGAGGTCGATGAAATTTAGCTTTCTGAAAGGAAATTAGGCTAACTGTTGTAGAAATTTCTTACGTGAATTTGAGCTTATCATGAGCATAAACACCGCGCTGAAACTACAAGATTACTTACCGTTGGATCGGTAAAAGAATTTCCAGGGAGGAATGGAAGAGCCATTTTCTTATTTTAAAGTTCTACTTCGCTTAAAAAGAATAATTCGCACGGGTTGTCTTGTTGAGTTCTTTTCGCTGAAGTTCAAAATGTTTCACTGACTATCATGGCCGCTGTGGTTGCTATTTGGCAGCACTTGTTGTCATGGTTTCTGTTTAGGGACAGTCGCACTCCCGCTAAATCTCACGGGATAGCAGACTCCCTAAAAGAGTTATGGGATAGCAAAAAGTTATCAAATAAAACAACAGAGAGAAGACGGGGGATAAGTTTCTACTACCATTTACTCCATTGCTCAAGAATCTTCATTGGCTTCTGCTAGAACAAAGAATCATCTTCAAAATTGCACTCATTACCAAAGGTATTCGTGGCGAAGCTCAGTTCTCAGTATATCGTAGATCTGCCCAAGCCCTACAACCCAGCCAGAACACTTAGATCGTCCACTCAGAATCTCCTTTGCAAGCCAAGTTTCAATTTAAAAGGTTACGGGGGCTGTTCATTTGCGGTGTCGGCTCCAACTGTGTGGAACATACTTCCAAAAGATATTATAGACTCGTCTTCTACGAACATTTCTAAAAGTAAACTGAGAACGTGGCTTTTTAAACAAGTATTTCTAAGTTGAAGTTTTTAATTATATATCTTTTTAAGTTTTTATCTGTTTTTGACATTTTCGTAATTTTTTATAGTAGGTATTTGTTTATAGATTTAATTTCTTGTAAAGCGTCATTGAACCATTGGGAAATGGCGTTATGAAAATTTTCATATTATTATTAATAAACTGAAAAGAATAGATAGTTAACCTTTGTCTTGGTATCATCTCTTGCATGAACATGTTCTGCAAAACACGGTAGCACTAAAACTCGTAACTAGGTCTTTTGGCGCTGTGCAGAAAATTCTTCTGATTTACACTCAATTTGACAAATTACAGTATCTGTAAACCAGAAAATTTGCACTTTGTATCCATTAAAAAATTCACTTTTACTTTTTCCGAATTACACAAAGAAATTCATTTTATTGTTCAGTTTAACCTGTGTTTCCATTTTAGCTTAACATTCCAGTTCAATTTATTTTATGCTTTCATACACCATGAACTTTCAAATGACATTTCAAATTCAAATTCAATTTTATTGGATGAGATCGGGCACGCGTGCATATTTGAAACGAGGACTCGATCTTCGCTTCTCGACGCCAGTGCATAATAAACAGCTTTACACTTAAACTATTCCCTCTTGGCAATAAACCCGAATAAAATTCTTTTCAGGTGCGAGCTTTCTAACAAGCTTCTCTTTGCTCATAGTATATACTGTATATTCAAAGCACACAATCGCACGTGTAATGCATTCCTTTTGTGCAAAGCATATTTCTAATAGCTGGAATGAATTTTAATGTTGGTGTATAAAGAGGTGTAAAATGACACCCAGTTAAACGCCGGTCGCCGTTGCATTGCAGGAGTAAGAATGAGGACATCTTCGTCGATGTGCTTTCTTCAGGCAAGTTTCTGTTTCCTCTTTCTCTCTTGAGGGAATTCCTTTCGAGCTAGTTGTTAACTTTTCCTTTACTTTCCCTAGCTTTTAGATATCACGGAT